GAGGCTAGGTCAAATGAGTACAGTCTGCAAGTTTGGATGTTCTTATGTATCTGCCCTCACTTTATATCAGCTGGATGCTTCACTCTCAACTCTAGCTCTCTGTGGCTATGTCCTTGTCCATGGGCTCAAGTGCCCTCAGGTCTCACCACACTTTGGACCAACCAGCCCTACCTCTTCTCTCACTTACCTCCAGGTCAACAGGAGTCAGTAGACTGTGGTTGAACTCAGCCCATTTCTTCATTGCTGCCTTTCCCCCTCTTTCACTCGCCAATAGACCAATGTGGTCGCCAGCAAGCTTACATGCCTATTCGTGTGTTCCTTTGAGTTTCAGTCTCAGAGGGGAGTTTGTCCTGAAGGAACTTGATTGCTTGCCTTGATGGCTTCCTGGTAAACAGCTTGTTTATTCTTGTAGTAGCCAGTCATGCTGACATTTTTTTTTTTTTTTTCCTGATGATCCTTCTTTGATGGATAAGATTTTAAAAATAATATTACCAAAGTTTAATTTTGCTGACAGGATGAAAGTGACAAAATGCACACTTTCCAAATCCAGCAATCTCCAAAAAGGAAAGCATAAGTAACAGAAAGTGAAGATAGAAAAGATTTTAGCAAGAAAGCCCTTGACGACTTCAAGTATACTCCAGTCTTTGAGCCCAAATTAGGTAAATTTCACTCTACTAAGCACCAGACTGCAAAACCCAAGTTTGGCAGTCTGAGCTCACCAGGACTCCGTAGAATAAAGATGAGAATTTCTGCTCTTACAAAGATTTACATCCTTGGGTACCCTATGATGGGTCACTGTGAGTTGAAACAAACTCTAAAGCACTTAGCAACAACAGTAGCAACAACTAAGGAACTGAGATAGGTTGTAGCTCTTTATTCATCACGTGTTATCTGAGATGCAGATGAGAAAAAGATGTTCCATAGTACACTTGAATTAAATATTTAGTGTGGAAGATAGTATGCTCTGAAAACTCTAGAAAAAATAATAGAAGCAATTCAAAAAATAGGAAAAGGAGAAATGTTTTTCTTATGACTAAGGCAATCCTAAAATATTTTTTGTGAAACCTTTCTTCTCATCTGTGATAGATTATGAATCAAAGATTTCCTCTATGATCCTATAGAAATTTCCATGTACTAATTCAAATGTATTGTAAATATTATTAAATTTGTAGTTAATTTCTGAAAAAGCACATATACCTCTTTTTCCTAAAAATTACCTGTTATACATAACATTTATCCTTCTGTGTTTTATAAGGTATAAGCATTAAAGATTGGAGGTCATTATTATGAAACAATAAACTGAAGCTTAAACAATATGGAACGAATACTTTGCTTTTACTTAAAAGTGCAAGTTAGGATCACTCTACAGGAGACAGCAACTGTGCCATACAGCCAAGTATCAGTCATACCCTCAACAACCCCACTAATTGGGCTAGAGCCAATAACAGGTGCTATACACCAGGGCAGTAACTATAACCAACTTTGGCTAAATCCACTATGAATTGAACTGTATGAACAGAGAACAAAGAAGCTCATCTCCTGATCATACCCACCAGGGAGCAATCAGTGAGTGCCTAAGAATACACCTACATACATTCATCAATTTAGTACAAGTACACCACCACCCCAATGCCTCGAAAGCAGCAGAAATTTTCTGTTCACATTAAGGAAAAAGACAGAGTTAATTCAAACAAACGACAAAGTGGAAGAGCCACAAAATGTTTTGAGGAAAAACAGGCACTGTAACTGCCTGAAAAATAATTCTGGAGAATGATACTGAGGTACATGCAACATTTCACAAAAAGTTCAAGAAAAACAAGGAAGAATTCAGAAAAGTGCCACCGGAGCAATCAAATATAATAGATACAACATTTGAGACTACGTAAAACCTGAAAACAGAAATGCAGAAGATCAATACTAAGATATCAGAAATAGACAATACACTGAAAGGGAATAGGAGCAAAACTGAATGAATAGAAGCCAGAATTAGTGAGTTTGAAGATAAATTTATCAATACTAGTAAGATAAAAGAACGATCATAAAAAGAATGAAAAAAAAAAAAAAACTGAAGAAAACTAAAGATTCATGTGGGACAACACGAAGAGGAATAATCTACAAGTGATTGGAATTCCAGAACAGGAAGAAACAAAGAAAAGATACTCTAAGAACTGCTGGAAAAAATTTCTTTAACATCACGAAAGACAAGATGCTATTCAAGAAGCTGAATGAAACCCAAACTGGACAGACCCCAAAAGACACCAAGATATATTTTTAATCAAACTCTCCAAAATCAAAGACAAGGAAAGAATCCTGAAGGCAGCTTGGGAAAAAAACAGAAAGTGTTACCCACAAAGGAAAACCTGTAAGATTACATTCTGACTTCACAGCAAGAAGGTAATAAATAGAGAGTTCTCGGCCTATGTGGTGGCGCTGGGATGGATTCCTCCTCGTCTTCCTCGGCGGCGGGCTTGGACACTGTGGACCCACAGTTGCAGCATTTCATCGAGGTGGAGACACAGAAGCAGCGCTTTCAACAGCTAGTGCACCAGATGGTGGAACTTTGTTGGGAAAAGTGCATGGACAAGCCTGGGCCAAAGTTGGACAGTCAGGCTGAGGCCTGTTTTGTGAACTGTTGAGCGCTTCATTGATACAAGCCAATTCATCTTGAATCGACTGGAACAGACCCAGAAATCCAAGCCAGTTTTCTCAGAAAGCCTTTCTGACTGATCTCTGCATTACCTCATTGGAGAAGGAAGGTAGTTCAAGAAATGAAGAGCTGTTGATGGGATGGTTGAAGAGAAGGCTATGGGGAATTGGCTTCTACCTTTTTTCGCTTTGGGGATGTTCTGTCATCTGAGAATGAACAAAGACCAACTGTGTGTTTGTGTGGTTTGAGGGTTATATATGTATTCGGTTGTGTTTTTTATGCTAATCTTATGGAAATAATTGACAGATGAGTGGAAGACTCTACCAGAATGTATATCACTCTATGTGGGACTGTGCTTTTTGTCAAACTCCCATTAACTGCTTCCTATACTCTGAGAGTAGAATTGCTTTCTATAATTTGATACTGGGACCACATAGGTTAAAATCTGTCATTTGTGTGGATTAATTTCAGATATCTGGGGAGATTGATATTCATATTTGTGTCAGAATGGGGAGCCATGGAGTGGGGAGAGTAATTTGGTATTATAATTGTAGGCCTCCTTAGCTAGTATTCGACTGTCAGTGCTAGGAGTAAAATCTGTACACTTCAGCTTTCTAGATTCTCTCGCTCCCCATACTGTGATTTACTTAAAGATCTCTATAAAGGGTGGTCTCAGGTGGCCTGAGAGTCTAGAGGCCTTTAGTTAACATAATTCTCATAAATGGACTGCCACAAGGAAGAAGTTAACTTTCCCTGTATTTCAGGGTACAAAAAAAATCAAAGATGTGCCTAAATTAGTCATGGAAATTTAGGCCAGTCAGTAACTAACAGCAGTTTCAGGTAGAGGTGCATGCCTAATGTTAATCAGTACAATTTCCGTTTACTGCATTCTTTTGATTACTGAAATAAAAGCTACACAATTCAACTCTGAAAAAAAAAAAAAAAAAAGAAGGTAATAGAGAGACAAATACCAGACTCTGAAAGAAAACAATTGCCAGCCAAGAATTATTTTGTTTTTGCTCATAGGTGCAATCAGGTGAGCACTGACACACAGCAGTCCTGTTCACAACAGAACAAAACACTGACCAGTCCAACAGTAACCTCATCATCTTTACTAAATTTGAGATTATTGATGCCACCACTGTGCATCTCACTGGGGGTCTTCTTTTTTTTTTCTGACCCTCCACTTTACTAAACCTGGTGTGGTTCTGTGGGTTAATGTACCAAACTGCAAAGCCATTTGAACTATAAGGTTGGTGGTTCAAGCTCACCAGCTGTTCCTCGGAAACCCTATACAGGGTTTCTATGAATAGAAATCGACTCCACTTAACAACAACAATTTTACTAAACATGATATTCTTCTTATTAATATATTATCCTTCCTATTAATATGTCTGAAATATGAGAAACAATATCTGCCAATTCCAATAAGGAGCACTCTGGCTGTACTTCTTCCAACATAGATTGGTTTGTTCTTTTGACAGTCCATGGTACTTTTAATAATCTCCTTCAACACCATAACTCAAATGTACCAATTCTTCTATAGTATTCCTTATTTACCATCCAACTTTCACATGCATATGAGGTTACTGAAAATAACATGGCTTGGATCAGGAGCACGTTAGTCTTCAAACTGAGATCTTTTCAATATTTTAAAGAGGACTTTTGCATCAGACTTGACTAGCGGAGTATGATAGGTGATCTTTTCTCCATTTATATGGATGTTGTTTATTGCTCCAGTGGTGATGAATTTTGTTTTCTTTACATTGAGATGCTACCCATACCTAAGACTGTGGCATTTGATTTTCATCAGTAAGTATTTGAAGTCCTTTTCACTTTTAGCAAGCAAGATTGTATCATCTGCATATCACAGGTTGTTAATAAGTCTTCCTCCAATCCTGATGACACGTTTTTCTTCATATAACTTAGTTTCTGAGATTATTTGCTTAGAATATAGATTGTATAAGTATGATCAAAGCATACAACCCTGGCTCCCACCTTTCCTAATTTTAAACCATTTGGTGTTCCCTTGTTCTGTTGGAACAACTGACTCTTGGACTATGTATATAGATTCCTCATGAGCACAATTAAGCATTCTGGAATACTAATTCTCCCCAATGCTGCCAATAGCTTAAAATGATCCACATAATTGAAAGACTTTGTATAGTCAATAAAGCACAATAAAATATCTTCCTGATATTCTCTGCTTTTAGCCAATATCCATCTGCCATCAGCAATAATAACCATTGTTCCACATCCTGAGCTGAATACAGCTTGAACCTCTGGAAGTGCTCTGTCAATGTATAGTTGCAGCCATTTTTTAACTATCTTTAGCAAGATTTTACTTGCATGTGATATTAATGATATTGTCTGATGATTTCTGCATTCTGTTTGCTCACCGCTCTTTGTTATGGACACATATATAGATATCTCCCAGCCAGGTAGTTGTTTTCCCAATTTCTGAGCATGTTCTTCCCTTTTAGTTTTCTAACTCCAGGTCTTTGCACATTTCTTTTTAATATTTAACTTTGCCTTCTTGAGCTGACCTTTGAAACTTTTGTTCACTCTTTTACCTCCTAATTTCTTCCATTTGCTTTATTCAGCTTAAGTCTGAACTTGCATATGAACAGCTGATGATCTGTTCCAAGTCTGCCCCTGGTCTTGTTCTTTATGGATGATATGGAGCTTTCCCCCTGACTCTTTCCACAGATGAAGTCAATTTGATTTATGTATATTTCATCTGGTGAGGTTCACACGTATAATCGTATTTTATATTGTTTAAGAAAGGTATTTGCAACGAAGATGTTACTGGTCTTACAAAATTCTATCATGGGATTTCCAACATCGTTTCTATCACCAAGGCCATGTATTTCACCTACTAATTCAGCCTCCTTGTTTCCATCGTTTCAATTTCAATAGCTAGTAATTATCAATATATCTTGATTGTGTGTTCAATTTCAAACTGAAGAAGTTGGTAGAATTCTTCAATTTCAACACCTCTGGCTTTAGTGGTTGGGTGTAAATTTGAATAATAGTGGTATTAATTGGTCTTACTTGTGGGCATATGACTGTTATCCTGTCACAGACAATGTTATACTGCAAGACAGATCCGATATGTTCTATTTGATGAGAATGTGATGTCATTCCTTTTCAATTAGTCATACCTGTCATTTACCTGTGAACGTCAGGTTCAGAATGGTCAATTTCAACTCACTAATGCCTTTGACATCGATGTTTATGTATTCCATTTAATTTTTGACAAATTCCAATTTTCCAAGATTCATACTTCTGTGTATTCATTGCTCTAATTACCACTGCATGTTCACAGCTGTTTCTCTTCATTTGAGTTGTGCCCCATCATTAAATAAAGATACTGAAGGCTTTACTCCATTTGTGTCATCACAGTCAACTCTACTTTGCAGAGGCAGCTCTACTACAATTGTATGTTGAGTGCTTTCCAACCCAAAGGGTCATCTTCTGGTACTGTATTTGACAGTATTATGGTTCTCTTTATCATGTTTAAGTATTTATGAATTCAATATTCTGGCACTGACTGTGTTCTACTGTTATTCACAAGGTTTTCAGTGCCTCAATATTTGGAAGTAGTCCATCTCTACTTTGTTCCTAGTCTATCTTTGTCTGGAAGTTCAGCTGAAACCTTTACACTGTGGGTGACCCTGCTTATATTTAAAATACCTATGGCACAGCTTCTGTAACCCTAGCAACACATAAACCACCACATTATAACAAACAGTATAATACAGATGAGTGGTTCAACAAGGATCCAAACTGTCCCTCAAATACAATGGCAAAATAAGAACATCTTCAGAGAAACAGAAATTAAAAACATTTGTAAAAAACAAAATCAACTTGACAAAAAATACTAATGGGATTTTTTCTGACTGATAATCAATAACAGCAAAAAATAACCATAGATTGATGTACATAAATGCACCACTTAGAATTCATTTCAGGTATAGAAATATCCAGAGTAAAACAAAACTACAAGACTGAAGATAAGGAATCAGTGATAATTCATCTATATGCAAGACAACTACAGAGCAAAAAGAGTGGAAAGTATAGTTTTGGAATACCAAATGGCAAGGAAGTCAAGCAGTTTTCAGGATAAAAACAGACTGCTTTAATTTGGAGAAGAAATTGATAAATTATAGGGTAACCTCAAAGTAATGTAAAACAACTTCACATCAAATCAAGAAAAGGAAAATCCATGAAGATTTTGTAAAAATTAAAACTATGAAGAAATTGACAAGAAAAAGCACACAAAAAACATGAACTCTGAACAGAATAAAATGTGGATCAAGGAAACTAGCAGCAACACAAAATACACACAGCAAAATTACTGACATCAATTAATCCCTATCAATTAATTATCCTGAATGTCAATGGATTAAATGCACCAGTTAAGAGACGGAGAGTAGCAGAGTAGATAAGAAAACACAATCCTTCAATATGTTGTCTACAAGAGATATACCTTACACTCAAAGTCCAATATAGATTAAAAATTAAAGGATGGGAGCAAACTTATCACGCTAATGACAATAAAAAATGAGCAGGAGTGGCAATATTAATCTCTTATAAATTAGATTTTAAAAACAAAAACCACCATCAGATGAAGAAGGATATTATCTCATGATTAAAGGAACATAACCAAAATAAATAACTATGCTACCAATGAAAGAGCCTCAAAAGACATAACTCAAACTCTAATAAAATTGAAAAAATGTCTAGTATTATCTCTGGTGATCACCTGGATCTACATGTGAGTGGAAGTGAGAGAATGCAGCAAGAAATACATGGGCTAAATTTGAACATGTTCCGTTGACACCCGTTGACCTGAGATAAGAAGAGGAAAGACTGGCTGGTCTGAAGTTTAGGGAGATGTGTAAACTCCTGAGACCATGGGCACTGACCTAACTCCTAGGGGCTAAGGCTGAAAGTGAAGCAGCCAGCTGTTCTAAAGTACAGGGAGGTGTACATGAACTTCCAAACTTGCAGTTAGTACTCATTTGAGTAGATTGGATGGCTAGTTTACCAGAATTCAACCAAGTGAATATAAAGA